ATAATAATAATGTTTATAATTTGGTGAATGTACACCACAACTTACGTGGTATGACAAACCTATCCCGGATGCGATGTATTATGTTGCCATCCGTGGCATAATAATAAACTAAATATTCCAGAATAGCGTCATCGCCTTGTGCAATGTTGTTAACAATCTCATCAAAGAAACATCCAGCGTCTGAAACAAAAGAAAATGATGTGCCATAATGGTTCCCTTGCCTTGGTAACGGTGTCTGAGATGGATGTTGATTCCTTCATTTCAAGTCACCTGTACTACATGGACAGTTTCATGTATACCTCTATCCATAGTATTATATTGTATTGTTATCTTAAACGGCATGCTGGGTTTACTTAGATACCTATGATGCACTAGTAATTTTACTGTTCATCGTCAACGGATTTTTTAATATCTGGTTCTAGTGATCTTCAATATCCTTATTATTTGATCTCGGCTCGATATGGCTGAAACAATGCAGATGTGACGATAAATAAACTTCACATTCTTTCTTCAGGGCACTATAAAAGAACAAGAGATGGTAAGATGGTTAAATTGTTATTATTTCATTGCTGAGATCTGTGTGATGTACTCGATACACTGACAGTGCCATAATCAGTTCCATTAGGCTACACCGCCGTTCCAAAACATGGGTATACAGAATGTCAAGTCACAAGATTAAAAATGCGAAATTTCTCAGTTCAATATCGTGTATGGCCGCCCCGCGCATTCACCACTGCCAAACACCGTCTCCTCATCGACTGCCTGATGCTTGTGAACACGTGGTTGGGGATTCTGCGCCATTGCTCTTGCAAGGCAGCGCCAAGTTCCTGCAAATTCTGAGGTTGGTTCCTAAGACCACGAAGCCTTCTCCGAAGTGCATCCCAAACGTGCTCTATTGGATTAAGGTCAGGGGACCTCGATGGCCAGTCCATGACGTTGATTCCAGCGTTTTGCGGCCGAGCATTATCATGCTGGAACTGTAGACCTGGGCCATGAGCCGCCATGAAAGGAACGAGTTCAGGGGTGAGCACCTGGTCGCAGTAAGCAGCAGCTGTGAGGTTTCCACGGATGACCAGAAGTCGGGAACGGTTGTTCCCACAGAAAGCACCCCACACCATGCAACTTCCGTCCCCGAATCTGTTGACTTCCTGTACACAACATTGGGCATACCGTTCACGACGTCGTCTCCAGACTCTATGCCTGCCGTCCGCGAATCTGAGGGTAAACCTGGATTCATCGCTAAAGACGAGTCGATTTTAGTCTCTCTGGGTCCATCGGAGGTGACGTTGGGCCCACAGCAGACGTTGACGTTGATGAAACGGCGTCAATATTGGCCCACGATATGGACGTCGAGAATGGAGATTGGCAGTCCGCAACCGATTTCGAATGGTCTGTGAGGACAGTCGACCTCTAAACATCTCAGCCCTGGTTCGTGTAGCCGGCAGAAATCTGTCACGTAGGTGACGTAGGACGACCCGACCTTGGGCGATCAGAAGTGGTGCCAGTTTGTTGTAGACGACCTCGCAAGTCATACACAGTACGACGGCTGCATTCCATTGCTCTTTCGACGTCAATAACTGATCTTCCCGCTTGCAACATGCCAACGGCACGTTCACGTTGCACATTTGACAATCGTGGTATTTCACGTACCGTTAGAACTGTGGTTTAAAAGTGTTTTTTCAATTCATGAGGCCAATGCAAACACGTGCATATGAAGAAAACTTCGATGCGAAGATCACGTGATCGACTGCACGTGCAAAACCTGATTTGGCACTAACGTCATTTGCACGACAAATGGATGGGTTTGAGTGGGTTTTGCTAACGTGTTTCTAGAGTCGACAGATAGGGATCCCATTTCGGATACATAGATGTATCATCAGAGAAAAAGTATTCATTATTTTTCAAATTACATTTTGTGAAGTTTCTTTTTTGACTCAGTATATAAACTCTCTCACTCACTCTATCCATAGCAGAGGATTATGATTCCCTTTTGTTTGACGCAAAATGACGCAGAAGTACTTAATCATGGCTGGAAAAGACAATCTAGTGATTGATATTATGAGCATCAGTCTACTCAATTGAAATAAGACCCAAGCATCAACCCAGTCATCGTCTCTTACAAATAGCATAGGTTGCTTAAAATAATTTCTATCTTCACGGGTTTCCATGTATTCAATACTATTTTACTAAACATTAGATCGATAGGGGGCAGTGGGGTAGTTTAGTGGTTAAAGCGTTGGCTCGTCACGCCGAAGACCCGGGTTCGAATCCCCACATGGGTACAACGTGTGAAGCCCATTTCTGGTGTCCCCCCGCCGTGATGTTGCTGGAATATTGCTAAAAGCGGCGTAAAGCCAAACTCAGTCAGTCAGTTAGATCGATAGGTGTTAAGAATTTGAAAAGGAATTAGGAATTGTACTTACAGTTTCTCTTCAGACGTAATCTGCTCCTGTGAACAGATGTGTAGTCCAGACGATCTCGTCGGTGTAAATCGTATAAGACTACAACATCAGCTATACCGGCAGCATCTGAGAAATAAACATCATCTTAGACACATAATAATTTGTCAGGTATGATTTGAAGACACACTGGAACATTATTTTGATTATCTTTATGAATTTCAGGGAATTTTAACGTTTACAAACAGAGAACACAGACATCTTGTAAGACATGATTTAAACTTTTACAGATATCTCAAACCTGGAGGGGCGGTGGCGTTGTCCAACGGATTAACGGCTTGTCAAGCTGAAGACCCGATTTCGATTCCCCACATAGGTACAATAAATGAAGCCATTTCTCGTGTCCCATTTCTGGTGATATTGCGGAATATTGCTAAAAGCGTAAGATTAAATTCAATCACTCCCTCTTACCTGGAATGTTGATGGTGATTTTGTTGCGGTGTGCAGCATCTAATTTTATTTTAGGCGGTGGCAATGCAGAACATAAACAGAGACCTACACTGAGAACTGCATACGTGAGTGTGTCCATTGTCTTCTTGGATCAGTGTGCTATCAACCAGGTTTGTAGGGCCCTAGTTCACTTCTGTATTGGCTTATCACCTTTCACTTGTGGTAACGGACAACACATTTATTGTACAAATAATATAATTCTAACTCGAGTCGTTCATCACTTGTATAAGGTGCTAAGAGTACAATCTGTTCATTGTGAAGAGAAGGTAAATCTGCAAATGAAGATGCAAAGTTTTGTTCAATAACATGGGCGCGTTTGAATCTGACTTTCCAACATCCACATCCACGTTTGCTCAAAGCAGTTCACGGGCATGTCCATGTGTGAAACGGTTCACTCTTTGTTTGTAATCTTACACATTCCTTTGGTGGTTTAAAGTTGAATATAATTCGCAGCTGCCGTGATTCATTTTGAAGACAGTTGGACTTGAAAACTTTAACCATATACGACAGTGAGTTGTTGAAGTTGATATTAGTTGTGATGAACATGAGTCAAATATTGTGTGGATATTAACTTCTTTGTTTAACACGACGTTTCGGAGTTAACTCATATTCCTTCTTGAGGTGAATGATACATACATGTAGTGGATATGGACATCTGCATGGGAATCCAGCCACTGCAAACGTAATAGGAAAGACTGCATGGTTCCGTTCTTAATATTCGGTTTTACTTGCAACTTATCCGTGAAGATCCGGTTTGGTCTTCAGCAACCCATGCTTGTCGTTAGAGGCAACTAACGTGTTTCGGTGGTCAGGCTCGTTGACTTGGTTAACACATGTCATTGTATCCCAATTGCGTAGACCCATGCTCATGCTGTTGATCACAGGATCGTTTGGACCAGACTTGATTATTTTCAGACCGCCGCCATGTAGCTGCACTACAAGCAAACTAACAACTTGTCATTGTATCCCAATTGCGTAGACCCATGCCCATGCTGTTGATCACAGGATTGTTTGGACCAGACTCGATTATTTTCAGACCTCCGCCATGTAGCTGCACTACAAGCAAACTAACAACTTGTCATTGTATCCCAATTGCGTAGACCCATGCCCATGCTGTTGATCACAGGATTGTTTGGACCAGACTCGATTATTTCAGACCGCCGCCATATAGCATTGTATCCCAATTGGACCACTGCAAACAACTTACGTTGGACCACAAGCAAACAACTTACGTTCCGTTGTGTCAATGTCCTGTAATGTCAATTATCTCTGTGGTCAAGTGAATTGAGTGTCTCCCTGGTTCTTTCAACGGCATCATACCAAAATAAGTTAAAGGTTGGGACTTGTAATTACCCTTTCAGGTGCTCGGACTGACTGACTGACTGAGTCTGTTTTACGCCGCTTTTAGCAATTTTCCAGCAATATCACGGCGGGGGACACCAGAAATGGGCTTCACACGTTGTACCCATGTGGGGATTCGAACCCGGGTCTTCGGCGTGACGAGCAAACGCTTTAACTACTAGGCTACCCCACCGCCCCCCGGTGCTCGGATTTAAGATGAGGGGATAAGACAAGATTTCGCGAATACTAGTACCTACTTTCATAGTTTTTTAAACAGGTGTTTGCCTGAAAAACCGATATTCGGCGTGTCTTATGATTATATTTTGGAAAGAGTTTTCTCCAGTCAATTCAAGATCTGTGTAGATGTAGGGTTAGAATTTGTCATCAGCAACACAAGCATGTCTTGATAACGCTAACAAGCAGGATCGAGTGGTAGGTTTGCTGACTTGGTTGGTGCACGTCTCCGCATCTCAATTGAGCACATCGACGCTCATGATGTCAATCGCTGCTTACCTGGCCCAGAGTCGATTATTTACAGACCGCCATCATATTGCTGGGACTTTTGCGAGCAAGACGTTAAGCAGCGACCAAATTTTGTAACGGTTTGTAAATCATCACTATGGCAAAAATCCAAACCATAAATGTATTGGGGCTTTGGCGTTTGTTATTCTCTGAGTTAAATTAGTTTTCACAAAAAGACAGGTATTACAATGAATTTTATTCCGTTAACCCTTGTCCAATCTTCTGTTACTAATACTGTATCATCTTGACCGACTTGACCTTCATGGCAACGTCTTCGCCATGCCAAGTTGACTGCCACTGGTGCTTGCTCTTCCAGAAATCCCTACTAGCAGTTGGTGAGTTGTTCTTCCAGGGTTTAGCATGGGGAGTGTTTCGCCATGAGTCGGGGAAGTAACCATTGGTGGCGCCTACAGCGACGTTCAGAATGAGGCTCATCTGGAACATAGTGAGTTAGTGAGTATGGTTTTAGCAATATTCCAGCAATATTGCGTGGAGGAACACCAGAGATGGGCTTCACACATTGTACCCATGTAGGGAATCGAACCCGGGTCTTTAGCGTGATGAGTGAACGCTTTAACCACTAGCCTACCCCACCGCCCCTCTGTCTATAGAAGAATGAGTGAGTGAATGTAATTTTACGCCGCAGTCAACAACATTTCAGTTACATTAAGATGGCCTCTAAAAGCCGAGTCTGTAGCTATCCATAAACTGTTTTCGCAGCTGAATATTTTAGAAGTAAACTATATGTATATCTACACCATTTGAAACACTGTTAGTGAGTGAGTGAGTGAAACGGTGTTGGCTGTACACATTGTACCCAACACATTGTACTGAACATCATAATCATTTAAATCTTCTGAGGAAGACACATTCTTCTAACGCCGCTGATTGCTATGACGAGCTGGATCCTTTAAGCTTCTCAGAAACATATGATCGGCTTGTTCGATTTCTATCGTCATCCTGATGCTTACAGGTGTGTCTGTACCGATAATGATTACAGGGAGGTAAAACCTCAGTCGCTCACTCATTGCATCTTATGTGGTCAGATGAAACAATTTCCTTACCTTCCCATCAAAGGGCGCATCTTTACCCCCTCTGGACCAGACATTGGTACCAGTCTGATGACTGTATGACCAGTACCCTTGAGACGGTGTTGACCAGGACATGACCGGCTGGTTGTCTATGTCCATCCTAATTAGAGGATTAATACAAGTTATCAATAAAGGTATCTGCTTAGAAATAAATTATCTTATTAGTACTTAAACATTCCAGTGCAAGTCCAGTAACCGGTCTGGACTATCTATAGAAACAAATTCCGGAAAATTAGCTGTGAAAATAATATTAATGGATCGCTGAAAATCAGTGATGACACCAGGTGTTCTAGAAAAGGATAAGTATGTCCTGTCCTACCGGTAGCACCCTCCATTCACAAATTATGCCTAAAATTGGAAATATACAATGTTTCAAAAATGAATGTGCAGTCAATTTATTCATGCCACATTCGTGTCAAGCAATTATACTTGTAACAAATTCTCCAAAATATTTGGCGGCCTTACCTTCTATGATAGTAACACTTCAAGGAAGCGTTGAGATTATGACTGTAGAGTAACTGACTTACTGAACTGACCTTCTAGACTTACTTACAGTGTACCGAAAAAATACTGAGCCTAAGTGTACGTAGACTCATATTGACAAATTCATGGCATTAACTGTTATCAAACTTTATGTTCTGAATATTAACGCATTTATCAGGTTTGATATCACACTTTTATTAAGCTACGGTTTCCTGATGTAGACATATCTATTTTCTTTCATGATATATAAGTCTTTTATGATGATTTTGGGTTGATATTAATGTTTTTGGTAACCTTTGAGTTCCTGATATTTACACTTTTACAAAGTATAGAAATATGTGTGATAGGATATGTTATTTGTTCGCCTTTACGTCTATTTTCGCAGCGGTTTTGGGAGAAAATTTTTTAAAATGTCCAGTTCGCACATTCGTAGCCACCGAACTTTGATGACATGCACGTTACCTGATGTGTCCATCTGTCCAGTCCACTGAGTATGTATGAAAACCATCAGCCCAACTTGTGCCGGATTTGCTCAATCTGTAAAACACATTATCCAACATGAAAATGTGTTTGTTTATTATTGTGTCACCGCTGCACGTCGTTACCTCTCATCACCAGGACGACGATCTGTACATAATTGAGTCTACTCCCGAACACCCGATGGTTAATATTATGAACACCTATCCTCACCATCGGGGTATGCTAGGACGTTATCGAAGGAGTCATATGACCTGACCATATCAACCTTGATTCTTCAAGTTGATTCTTACGACATAGATTGCTGGGAACGTACTGTAACCTGTGATGATCATACGAGCGAATGATAATGACATTGTAACCAAGGAGACCATTCGTATGATTGAACGGCTAACGATAAACACATCATTCGGAATTAAAATTCTGAGTCCAGGGCCCCGTTCCTCAAAGCGATCGTAACCCTAAGACTCCCATACGTACGACAGTCGTAGCACTACGATCACTTTAAGGAACGATTCCCCGATCCACAAAGAGATCGTAACCCTAAGATGATCGTAACTTCCATACTTTAACATATACTTACGACAGTCGTAGCACTACGATCACTTCGAGGAACGATTCCCCGATCCACAAAGCGTTCGTAACGTTACGACCTTTCGTATCTCTTTTCTTTATCATTGGCTTACGGATGATTTAGTGCTACGAACGTTTTGTGGATCAGGCCCTGGGCGTATATGCATGATGCTTGGTATACGTTCAGTTAAAGATACGCGTGTAACGTGTATTTCCTCAAATACCAACTTCCCCCCTGCTATGGTTGTGATTTCTATAATTCATTGCTTTCATGACCAGTACACAAGTACAGGAACAACTGAGAAATTCCTGTTCAAGACTTTACAATAGCTAAATGAATGAGTTAGCATTAAAAGTCATATCGGCAGTATTTCAGCCAAACGTGACAAAAAAAATCTACATTTTAATAAAAGCCCACCCAGATGCAATAAATACTAGTCAGTGAAGGACAATCACCAGATTTCTCTTAAAACTAATGCGTAACTATATAAATATATTACTCTAAACAACAATACAATATTACGGGCAGTAGATCACGAGCAACTGAAGGTAGATCACATGACATGATAACCAAGGCGTTTAACGACAATACAATATTACGGGCAGTAGATCACAAGCAACTGAAGGTAGATCACATGACATGATAACCAAGGCGTTTAACGACAATACAATATTACGGGCAGTAGATCACAAGCAACTGAAGGTAGATCACATGACATGATAACCAAGGTGTTTAACGACAATACAATATTACGGGCAGTAGATCACAAGCAACTGAAGGTAGATCACATGACATGATAACCAAGGCGTTTAACGACAATACAATATTACGGGCAGTAGATCACAAGCAACTGAAGGTAGATCACATGACATGATGACCAAGGTGTTTAACAACAATATATTATTTCGCCTGTACTAATACTTGAAAATGGATAGTTCTGTAGAATTGTATTACTTAGACTGTCCTTGTTGTCTGTGTTGACTCGGAGACGCACCGTAGTGAATGGTGGACAAGACCCGGTCAGCTCCTTGGCTTGCGCCACTACTGTCTTTCATATGGAGGTTACCTTTGCAGGAAAGCATATATGTGTTAGTTGTAACCGGTATACCAGTATTTCAAAGGAGGCGTATTCTGAAGATTGTATAAAATCTACATGTAAACGAATCACTTTAATAATATTTTCATATTTAAATTTTAATTAGTGTACTCTTCTCACACTGCATTTCCCATCAGTTGATATGTTTTATATGTGTATTGTTATTCTAATTTTGTTTGTGATAATTCCCTTTCTTGCTGCTTTAACAAAGCACTACCTGTCTTATATAGTTTGTCACATTTGTTTCACATTGTCTTCAGCGGGACATCCAATATTTTCAGTCCAATATCCTACAGTCTATTCGAAAATGTCTTGGTGCAGCTTGATAAATTAATTTTGAGATTTGCCTTGAACAAATGTTGCTCGCTCAAAATTCTCTGCATACAGCTCGCTCCTCGATGTGAATATCAAGTGACCGGTATCGCCTTAAAATGAGTAAAATTCAATAATGTACACACCTCTTGATTCCATAATGTCGATCTCACCGGAAGCTGGCCAGGCGCCATATTTCCAAGGCCACCCGGGAGGAAGCAGCCAAATGGCTACAACATTGAGGGATTTAATCTCTACAATTCATTGGACAGTTTAAAAACGAATCAAAACCCATAGGGCGTGAAAAGCAAAATAATGCTGACAATTATGTAGGTATCATTACATATAAGAGATGACACCAGGTGTCCAATATGTCACTTATGCCATATAATAGACGCATGCCAAATGCATGCACATGTAGTTTTATCACATTATGGAATTTGAACTCACAGAAGATCTTCGACCCGTGAATATACGGGTTAGAATATTGATCTTCAGTAACCCATGCTTGTAGTAAGAGGCGACTAACGGGATCGGGTGGTCAGGCTAGCTGACTGAGTTGACACATGTCATCTGTTCCCATTTGCGCAGATCGATGCTCATGCTGTTGATCACTGGATTATCTGGTCCAGGCTCGATTAGTTACAGACCGCCACCATATAACTGGAACATTGCTGAGTACGGCGTAAAGCTAAACTCACCCACTCACAGAAGATCTTCCTACAACAGAACGTATACAGCTAACAAAATATAGGTGGGTCACACGTCATGCTACAGCAAGGTAGTTCAAACATCTGTCATATTTGGGAATACACTTTCTCAGAGTCTAGTACTTATATTATGTTGAGTCGAATCCGGGATTCGAACCCACACTCTTAGAATCCGGCATCTAACCGCATGCGCACACAGCCTCGTCACCCACCGCTGCTTCCACACAAATAGAAGTCGGTCAACTGGTAGTCTTGATTATTTTATGTGGAAGCAGGTCTGGAAAGTATAATCCCAAATATGACATATGTTGCATTTGACCATTATAAGATGTTCACTGGTCACAAGGGGGGCAGGGGTTGATGTACCCTAGATGTTTGTTTATGTTCCATGAGCCCGAAGGGACCAATGAACAACGTGTTTATCTTACCAAACACCTTAATGTTAATTTTAAATCGTTTCAAGCACGGGTACAAATCTTTTTGTAACCATTTGTAGATTTTGCTGACAAGAAAAACAGATTTAGAGTTATCTCCCTTCCATCGATTTGCATTCGTAAAACATCGGTAATTTCCGTACATCATACGTGATTCAATGTTATTCGAGATAAAGAATTACTACCACGAAGTACAGAATGAGTTGCCATTGACAGCAGGGTACATTGAAATGTACCTCGCTTGTAAGCTGGGTACATTGAAAATAATAGAAGAGCCAATCAGAAAGCGACATTTATGTGTGAGGTAAGATAATGACCATTGACCATTGTGTATAACAAGACAATTGACACAAAGGATGTACCTGGCCAGATCCAGTCCCCTTTAGGGATCTGCGCCACCACCTCAACTCGTCCGTGTGTGATGGAAGCTGTAGAGACGACCTTCGATGACATTATTGGTGGAATCTGCGAACCCTGACGATGACAGCCATTGTCATTATCAGATGTGCATGATCCCCACTGTTCTGCAACAGGGAATATTGAGGCAAGTGTACTGTCTGTTTGAACATGGATGCATTTGTTCAAATGTACTGACCGTCTAATCATGCAGACAATTGGGCAAATGTATTGTCTGTGTAAACATGTAGACATTCGGTCAATGTGCTGTCATTCAGAACACAGAGACGTTCGATTAAGTGTGCCATCTGTTTGATCTTGGATGCATGCGGCCAGTGTTCAGTCTGTTAGAACATGACGACATTCGGAAACATTATGCTGTCGGTTAGAACATGGAGAGATACTATCAATTAGGGCTGAGGGTATTACCTGTATACCGGTATATCACAACACGCTTTTCAAACGATACGTATTGCGATATTTGTTTCTGAGAACCGGTATGTTGGGTAAAGAATATATATGACGTTTTTGTGATTATCTTTATGGTTTGTATTAAAATCTACACACACCTTCACTCACAACAGATGTTTGCCCTCGTTATTCAATGACAAAACGTCATACTGTAATACTATAATTTGTATATAAAAAAGAATAAATAGAATCCATGACTTGGCAAACTAATGTTGGGATTGCTGTTATCAGAACCATAACATACATGTTAAAGGACTTGCAATGTATAAAATAGGATTGACTTGCACGATTAGTGTCACTCACTGTCAAACCCTTAAGTTCTCAATATATCCCAATACGTATCGCAATACGGGTACCTGGATTGCAATATATTGCAATACAATTTATGGCACAACTTGTTTGCCAATAGACAGCTCTACTGTCAAGTGCGTTCTGTACATACGTTTGACATCAAGGACGCCGTTTTGAAGAAAACTTTCTCCGAACTTGTCAGCAGTGAACGTCTGCAGAATAAGTTGATGATGTGACAGAAAATGCAGTTATTATACTTTCACAAATCCGATAACTCGTGAAGATCGGGGTTAGGATTGGTCTTCAGTAACTATGCATGTAAGAGGCGACTAACGGGATCGGGTGGTCAGGTTCGCTGACTTGGTTGACACATGTCATCGTATCCCAGTTGCGTAGATCAATGATAATGCTGCTGATCACTGGATTGTCTGGTCCAGAAGACGTGATTACTTACAGAAAACGTCATATAGCTTGAATACTGCTGAGTGCTGCGTTAAAGAACAACCAACCGACCAGCCATCAATACGGTTTAGGTTTAGGTTTATGAAAGAAAGGGTATATGTGGTCGGTGCCATCTTAAATGTATTAAATGTATTACCGGTTTGAGATAGAGAACCCCGTTCTTGATGTATGTGTTGGCTGCTTCCGGTGTGTAGATCTGGAACTCTCCATTCTGATAGCAATAACAACAATAACAATAATATTAATAAGCTCAGTGTTTTTTTTATAAACAAAACGAACCATGCAATCATGATTATAATGAATCGACCTATATTAAACATGCCAAGGCTTTGATCGTACTTTTAGATTATCAAGATGATTATCAAATTATCAAAGGATAATCATGGCTTCAGGTCAAGAATTTGAAGTGAAATTCCAAGGCGTTTCCCTTTGGCATTCTGTTTGGGATTGACATCAATCTTACCCCTCCTCCCCAGCATGTTATTTCATGGTGCCAGTTCTTCAAATTCAGTTGGTGCGAGGTAAACGTGTCCTCAAAGACCGTGGTACCACGGCGGTATAGCCTAGGGCTCAGAGATGAAGCAGCTGTATGTAATATAAAATGCGGTTATTTATTGGCGTGGGCAGTTGCGAATTTTATCGTGGTGGCCCATTTCATGTTCACATTTTTTAATCAAGTTCTTGCATTATTTTGTCTGCTGCTTCTTATTAAGCGGTGTGTCCTTCGAGAAAATGGTTCATAATAATGTGTGCAGTATTCATTATCCTTTTATCAAATCATATCGTTTACATGATGAATGCCGCCATATAACTGGCATATTGCTGAGTGCGGCGTGAAACTAAACTCACTCAATCACTCACTCACTCAAACACACTGATTTAATGTACAATATGACCATACATATAAAACGTGCGAAATGAATACATTGTTTAAGAAGTAGGCATACCTGGAATACTGAATACACCGTCCACGTGGTATACAACATCGCCAGTTGCTGATAAATAGTTTACAGAATATTCCATCACTTCTTTATCGGTAAAGGCATGCTTGCTTTCGACTTCACAATAGAAGTGTCCAACAGCTAGAAGAAAAGCATATGTCAAGGAATGAGGGAATGACGTATAACTGAATATCCTTTGGCACCAGCCAAGCAATTTTGCTGTCAAGATCAGTTACAACGTAAAATATCTGTAACAAAAGACATTGGGATGTCAACAGGTGTCATGGAAAACTTTAACAACATTTGAATGATATATCCAAGGGAGCATTTTACAAAGAAACAATACTGTTAAGGTACAGTTTATATTATGCGTTGATGTGCTCTTATACATTTAATTCAAATTTACAGGAAGTCACAATATGCTTACAACTAAACATTTTATTGAAGGTTTCACGATCAAAGACCAGGTTAAGTCATTCGAGAATCGTTTACACAGACATTAACAGGAATGACATGTCTCTTGATCGCGAATCCATGTTGTCCCATACTGCCTGTGCATACACAGTAGTTACTGCCACTTCCTTTTCAAAGACACCGGTCAAGCAGGACATATTTACTCATTCACTTCGTCATCACGAATACAAAGCATTATCATTAATTTTCAATGATTCATTCAAATCACATTTTAACGATTTATCTTTTTTAATTATTTTGATATGTTTGTATTCGAGACGTTTAGGATCTAACATTGGTGTTGTAAATTTAGATGTTGAAACTGCTTAGAATATTTACCAGTAAACAAAACTGTAGAATCCCACCCCACAAAAAAATCCAACACATGCGTTCATATTGTTTTGTCAAACAATAGTCTGTTGCGGTCTAAAATATTTTCGGTTTATGGAAACATGAACGGAGGAACTGCTCGGTTAGCTGATCAAACGCCACGTATTAACTAGCAATTTAATAATGACCACATCGGCATGATTTCATTCACTGCCACACTTCCAGAACGTTTTAAGAAAAGTCGGTCATTACTGCGTGATTTGGTATTGGTATCCTTGATTCACTATACGTGTGAACCAAATCAATGGTGCCCTACATTTTGTAATCACTGCACTGAACGACGTTAAATCTAACATACTTCCATATCCAAAACTAAATACTGATAAGTGATCATACTCACGATTTCTATACACAGTGACAGTGTCCATCAAGCGTGGTAAATGACCCGATGGTTGATGAATAGCGTACTTGAATTCAATGGTATTTACAGTTGGTACATCTGTGGATGAAACATTGTCAGCATTTTGAGTGAGTGATTGACTGATTTGAGTGTTTGAGTGAGTGAGTGCGTTGGAAAGCAGTTGGGCCACATCATTTGGTACCTTTTCGCTTATTAATTTGAAATGATAAGAGAAAACAAATCACTAATATGCTTACCGGGAAAGGAAACAGCCAAGGTGTTCTGCTGGTCCTTATGTAATTTGATTGTTGGCTGTGGCCCTGCTAATGCAGGCGAAGCCACTAGGCCGATGAGCAGAAATATGTGTGTAGCCATATCGATGATGGCAAATGCTAATGGACTAGCGTTCTTATGGCTAATCTTTTAATGTAGTCAGGCATGTGTGTGAATTAACACGCGTTGTGAGGGCGCTATCTAAAAACAAAACACGTGTTCCATTACTTACTAGTCAGATCGTTTCAGATGCAGATAAGACGTTTCATAATTGTTCTAGTTTCAAAGTTCAAAGTATATGTTATGAACTTCGAATTGACGTCATACAGACAGAGATTAGTGGATTCAGGACTACATGAGTTCCACCAGATTCACCCGAACCTGTGTGTGCACCAAGCCTGGGTGATTGCGCAGAAGAAGCCGGCCTGCAGAGCAGCAGCCAATTTTGTGGTGCAAACCAGTGCTGTGATTAAGGAGAACCAGGGTGGTAGTGACTTGTGCCATAGGTGTGGTCTGTTTTACACAGATATTCTTACCCATAATATCCAGTACTGTGATCACTTGACTGACCTCCGCGATGAACTGTGGTGTGAGATCATAGCTATTGGTAGTGTGGAATTCAGTGTGCATCTCCACAACCTTAATGATTGGGATTTCACACTGCGCATGTTATCCTGTGTGACTAGTTTTAACCTGTGCACAGATGACAGAGACACTTTCGCGGCAGTTTCTTTGCAGTATGTGTTTCGCATGGCCAACAGATACTACCAGAGATCTGTTGGTGTCACATAGATATGAAGCACTGTTCCACGAACGTTCAGATCTGGTACGGACTGCGCATATGCCCAACGACCATTGCTAGAAGAATAATATGTAATTATTGTATTGTTTATATACTATGTGAACCTTGTACTCTTCAGAATGGAGGAAATACATATTATATATGCTTGTCGTAAGAGGCGACTAACGGGATCGGGTGGTCAGGCTCGCTGGCTTGGTTGACACATGTCATCGGTTCCCAATTGCGCAGATCGATGCTCATGCTGTTGATCACTGAATTGTCTGGTCCAGACTCGATTACTTACAGACCGCCGCCATATAGCTGGAATATTGCTGAGTGTGGCGTAACGCTGTAACAACGTATTTGTAACATGTAATATTATCATCGAAGTATAATAGTTATGTCCATGATTTGATTGGTATGTATAACATACAATTGCAAGAGAGTCGCTTGATGTATTGTATTAACTTTTGTGAATCCTGGAAAGGAATTCTGCAAATAATGGGTCTATAATTAGTTTTTCTGTTTCGTTTGAATAACAGTGCAATATAAATGATATTACGGGTTCTTATTTTGTTGATATTTCGGTATGAATTGAGAATAATTCTATACTACTCAAAAGTAAACAGAGATATGCCACCCGATGATCCGGAACTTCTGAGTAATATGCATAGACGCTTTATCGTTGAGGACAATCTTGTTATCATGGAGTTACGTTGCCATGGCTTCACGGAAACTCATCATTCGACGTCTTACGTGACCTTCAATGCGTTATGCGACAGTCAGTCTTAGTAACAATGATTCATTGTTGTGGAATAGATATTAACACAACACTAAACGGAAGCCTACAGAGACAAGGTAATTCAGAGTTTCAAAGCCAAAAAAACATAATATCATGTTAAAGCTCATTCTGAAATTATACAGGTACAACTGCAAATATATTAACAAAAAACTTAAATGTGTAAATACAGAAAAAACATAACCTGTTAGATTGACACTCAAAGTTTCATAAATAAATAATTTGAAAATTGAATTATAGTACGTAGTGCGGGCATAAGGTCAAACAGCTGATCAAATGACGGGTTATCATAGTGAGTGGGTGAGTGAGTTTAGTTTTATGACGCATTTAAGCAATATTGAAACAATGTCACGGCGGGGGAACACCAAAAAATGGGATTCACACATTGTACCCATGTCGGGAATCGAACCCGGATATTCGGCGTGATGAGCGAACGCTTTAACCACTAGGCTACCCCACCGTTAATATAAGGATATATTTGATCCTTAGTGGACTATTTGTCAATAAACATAACACGAATGTATGTATATTTTAGGCCAAACTTCAGAACTTTGCGTAATATTTATTTATTCATTTCACCTATGTCTTTCTTTATTGATCTTGAGATAATTCCCAAGATAATAATAAACGAATAGCCCATTTCTGGCTCATTTTGTAGGGAAATCATCTCGCTTTCGATCCGTAGGCCTCGACGGGGCCTTAAAAATAGTTTACGTGGTGAAATCTAACTTTGATTGAGGAGGGGGTGGTTCCGTCGTTACATCCCTTTCCTTTTATATAGTACTAGGGTTAGGTCTATATACCTATATCTCTTTCTAACGCTGTTTTAAGCGTGACGCGCCCCTGTGGTTACGATGTCAGTCACAAGGCTGTCTGGTTTTCAGTAAGTTACAAACCGCCGTCGAATGGCTGAAATATTGCTGAGTGCAGCGTTATTCAACAAACAAAAGACGACCTTTGTGACTATCAAACAGATTTAAGGTCATACTGATAAGAGAAAACTGGTGTCTGCAGAGATGTCTTCGGATAAGGAAGGTAGACGCGGTTCCACAGAAGGCACTTTACCGAAAGGCAACAGTAAACAAAATCCTGTAAATTTGGCGTCAGATAGTGATTGTTATAAGGACTACATAACGTGACAGATGAACCAATCTCAACAAACCATTAGTTAAAATAAGGATAGAGTGATTACATTACAATGCACATCTGAAAAAATCTTACTCTTCAAACCTCTGCAGATGTGAGTGAGTGAGTGAGTATAGTTTTACGACGCACTCAGCAATATTCCAGCCATATGGCGGCGGTCTGTCAAAAATCGAGTCTGGACCTGACAATCCAGTGATCAACAGCATGAGCATCGATCTGCGCAACTGGGATCCGATGACATGTGTCAATCAAGCCAGCGAGCCTGACCATCCGATCCCGTTAGTCGCCTCTTACGAAAGGTTGGACATATATATCTTAAATCCGATAACGACTACGGCGATCTTAGGACTTGTTACAAGCCAGTAGACTGTACAATAAATATATTTCTTGAAACTAACAAATGCTACGGCGATCTTGAGACTCATTACATACATGTACGCATGAAATGTTCAAAAATAGAGAAGGTTGGGAATATATCTGTGAACCGTGTGATGAACAGGTACTACCATGCAATATTTCAGTGTACCCGAGAAACAGTACAATACTTAATCATCATAGCGACGTCGTCCCTTTTCGATGAGGGCTGCTTGTCCTGCCAGCGACAGAAGCCGATCATGGCTGTCGATGAGCTGTTCTGTCAGGGTTTTGCCAGGAATCCAGAAAAGTAGCCGTTGGTGAGTGAGTGAGTGGGTTTAGTTTTACGCCGCACTCAGCAATATTCCAGCTATATGGCGGCGGTCTGTCAAAAATCGAATCTGGACCAGACAATCCAGTGATCAACAGCACGAGCATCGATCTGCGCAATTGGGAACCGATGACATGTGTCAACCAAGCCAGCGAGCCTGACCACCCGATCCTGTTAGTCGCCTCCTACGACAAGCATGGGTTACTGAAGGTTCATTCTAACCAAGATCTTCATGGGTACGTTTGTAGTTAGTTAGTTATGTTGTTGTTTTCATTTACCGCAAAACTCATATTGCCTATAAAGGTAGAATTATGGCGTGTACTTTCTTCCAGATACTTAAACCTGTAAATGTTAGAGATTCCGAATAAAGGTTAGTCATTTGATGCTACCTGCGTTATTGCGGAAATCCAATATGACGTAATCAAGTGTTGTGGCGTCTGATTACTTGACCTCATCTAAAGAAAAGGATGCCTTGAATAAAGTTTTCTGTGGGGTTATGTTTAACATTATAACATGAAAACACAACAGTCATTTTTCTTTGCTTATATCAATGAATAAATAATATTCTGAACAGTCGAAGGGGATACTTTACTTTCGGGGAGAGTGCTTCTTGCACATTAAAACACATTGTATCATAAAATTCATTTTACCCTGATATGTCCTTGTTATCACGAATTAAGACAGAAATATATACCGCACCATCTTCTTGCAAAGCAGCCCCATTATGCATATATATCTTTGTTACAAACCAATAATGAAAATATTCTTGCTCAATTGTCCTTATATATAAAATATGCTTTAGCTAAAAGAGATCTTCTTATAAAGCGAATTGTATACCCTTAAATATATATGTAAATATCCAGAATATTCCTTTATCACTGTAACTCTCATGTATATGGGCCGGAGGCCTCTCATACAATAAACATCTTTTGACTTTGACTTTGACTTTGAATGTTGCTTTCGAAATATAAAGTAAGTACCTATCTACATGAGCCCACTTATTGTTTGCGGTATTGCAGTCACAAGGAGTGGTATCAATTATTTTAGAGGAGAGATAAGTGAACGAAAGCAAGTTCAAATCCTTTGACAATACAATGAGGGAAGTGTCAAATTGACTGTAGAAAGATACGTTATAACAATATAATCTTAATATAACATCCGATCCACAACACAAGCCAATTTGAAAAACATAGAAATTATCGATGTCCAAGATATTTTTTTATGGATTAAACTTCTTTTTTAATTTCTCTCACAACGTTTCGAGACCATTCCAGGTCCCTTCATCAGGTGAACTGGCAGTTAGGACTATACCAAATACCATGCAGCTGTGGCGATCAATATATTGGCGAGACTCTCAGGCCCATTAACACCCGGGTTGCTGAACACAAGTCATCAGTATGCAAACAAAATGATAAGTCGGAAATGCTATATCGGAGCACAAGGCAAATAACCCAAGTCATGTAATCATGTGGAATGATATTAGGGTGATTTCGAGAAATAACAATGACTGGCGTCGGAGAAAACTACAGGAAGCTGTCGAGATAAGGAGACATAAACCAGCAATTAATCGTGGTCAAGGTGTATACCTGCCAAGTGCGTGGGACCTCTTGATTAACTTTTGATGAACTTTTGATGAACTTTAGATACAAGAAAAAACGAGTCTACTATCCTTTGTGTAATTAGCAGTTGTTGTGTATTGACAATTCAACTTTCAACTCTATTTCATCATTATGTAACTAACTCACTTATACAGTACTCTCCCTAGTGTACTGTGATGTCACTTGCATTGTGACGCCATAACTCAGTTATGACGTCATAGTGACGACGTCATAGTCCTAACTGCCAGTTCACCTGATGAAGGGACCTGGAATGGTCTCGAAACGTTGTGAGAGAAATTAAAAAAGAAGTTTAATCCATAAAAAATATCTTGGACATCAATGTACAACTTCTAAATGCCACTGAAAGACATCATAGAAATTATCGTTATGACGCTGCATTTATTTTGTCAACACTGCACATTAGGTTGACAAAGTGAAACCAGGCGTTAATACATAAGGGGTATCACCGAACTCTTGGCTTTTATGCCAACAAGTCTACCGTATAACAATAAAAACAGAACAGCAAAAAAGATAAACAAACAGGCTGCTGGGATCGCATCAAAGACAAACGTGGGCGTAAAATGATAGTAGACATGTTAAGGTGGATTAGGCTTTCAATAT